GGACAATACCTGACCTCATACTGGGAACAGAAGAAGCTCATGGCTCCAGGCTGTGAGCCCCTGGCTGTGCGGCGAATGATGGATGTCCTGGCTCCACATGTACATGGCCAGAGCCTGGCAGGGGCAGGTGGTGGGGGCTTTCTCTATCTGTTGACCAAGGAGCCACGGCAGAAGGAGGCTTTGGAAGCTGTGCTGGCCAAGACTCAGGTACAACAAGGTGTCAGGGTCGGTAGCTGGTGGGGGTGAGACACCTCACTGGAGCCTACCAACTCACCAGGGACTGCATCTACAAGTCCCCCTGGTCCTGCTGCCTTACTCCAGCCTCTAGAAGGCCTGAGAGTTGCTCAGAGGCCTCTAAGCACCTTCTCTCCTTTCCAGGGCCTTGGCAACTACAGCGTCCACCTGGTAGAAGTGGATACTCAGGGCTTGAGCCTGCAACTTCTAAGGAATGAGGCCTCCTCCTGATGCTTTGCAATGAAGCTGGGCAACACCTGGAGCTGTCTTTCCTTTACCTCTTTCCCCTGTGGGAAATCTCAGCCTGCTATGCCCCATTTATTTTTTTGAATCTGTTTCCAAAGGAAGCAAGACTTGGGCAAGTGAGGCAATGCTTAGGGACAGACTGTACATCCTGGCTGACAATAGCTGAGGCTTGGCTTCTGCTCCATCTGAACTCAGGAATGTTCTAAGCTGTGTCCTATGTGGCCTTTACAAATTCTGTATCCCAGTGTAGGCCTTGGCTTTTTCTCCACTAGGACCCTGGAGGAAGGGAATGACAACCAGCCACACCAGGTGGCTAAGGAATCCTTTGGTGAGGCCAACCCTGGAGAGGCCCTTTGAGTCATTTCCTGTGGCCTGTTTTAGTGTTGGAGACATGCGTAACCCTCATTCCTCAGCTCTTCTGGGGGAGTGGGTTGAGGGTGGGGCTCCATGGGGTCCTGCAGCAATTTTCTACCCACCCAGGCCTTAACCAGAAACACTAAAGACAGTGCTAAAGGACCCAGTGCCTGTGGGCAATGGCTTCTCAAGAAGGACATCTTGGAATAAATTCACTTTGCCCTTCATGGTTCTCAGAAAGCTTTCTTGTTCCTGCTGGGAGCAATTCCCACTTCTCTTGGCACTGTAGGAAAACGGCCCTGGTGTGATCCAGCTTCTGGAACTGAAGGTCCAAGATGGGGGTGAGAAAATAGGATTGAATGAGGGCGTCTGTGGACATGTGGGTCCTGGAGGTGGCTGGGTACTGCCTTAAGTGTGGGAAGAGGCTGAGGTCTTAGGCATTTAACTTCACATTTCAGTACAACTGGAAGACCTGCCCTGCCTGGAACCAGCACACTGTGGCATCTCAGTAGTGTCTTTTTTTTTAAAGAGAGAGAGAGAGAGAGAATTTTAATATTTTTTAGTTCTCGGCGGACACAACATCTTTGTATGTGGTGCTGAGGATCTAACCCAGGCCACAAGCATGCCAGGCGAGTGCGCTACAACTTGAGCCACATCCCCAGCCCCTTAGTAGTGTCTTTATTCTGATGTTTATTTGTAAACATCACAGCCTCTAGTCAAACCTAATTCCCAAGTCCTCAGATGCACCCAAGTCCTCTAAGGTGCTGGCAGGGGCAGCATGTTCGCTGCAGTGTTTGTGGGTAAGAGAATGACCACCCATGCAGAAGGCTAGCCTGGGCCACATGCTTCCTGCCTTGGCCCTCCCATCTCTCTTGGTGGAGAAAGGTTGTTCCCAAAGCACCACCCAGCTAGGTCTGAGGGCCAAGAATGGAGTAAGTCCAGGCCTTGTTTTCCTGCTGTCCATAGTTGAATAGTCCTGAGCTGTAGGAGCTCCCTGAAGCCAGCCAGCCTCGCATCGCTCCTTGGCTATGGCTACTGAGGAACCAGTCCTTGAAGGGTGATGGGCTGGCTGGGCTCACTCTGGCAGCTATAGGCGCAACCTTTTGATATCCTCACTGCGGAAGTCTATGCGCAGAGCCAGCACCTGACGCACTTCAGCAGGGGTGAGGCGCCATGTCAGTGGGCCAGAGTTGGCACCCCAGTAATCTAGGATCTCAGTCACCTGTGTGTAAAAAGAGAAACCACTCAGCAAGGTGGGGGGCTATCCTGAGGGAAGGCCCTGGGCTCCACCAAGGGCAAAGCAGGGTACCTAGGAAGGGGAAGGTTCCCCACAGGGTAGGGCTGCTGATAGACATGAGAAAGTGACAGGGATCCAAAATTTTGTTTTTGCCTCTTTCCAGTCTCTTTTCCTGGCTAGGCTGAGGAAGCTCCACATACCCGCTCCAGATTGAGGATTGTGGCCATCTGGGAGAGCCGGGCAAACTTGTCTCTTATGGTCCAGGTTGTCACGGTGGTAAGGTAGGCAATGAGTGACCTCAGCTCCTTGTCAAACTGGAGACCACCCAGCTGAAGAGAACACAAGCCAACGTTCTGTTTAAGGTGGACAAGCAGCACTAGTCTCCAACTGCCCTCAGAACTGAGAGACAAGGCCAGCTGGGCCTCAGGCAGTGCCAAGTGGCTTATTTGCTCTAGGGCATTAGAAGCCAGGGCAGGATTGGGCCCACAAACACAGGGTCTGCAGGTGGCAGAGCACTGAAGTCTTGGGAAGGCATGACTTGTTTTCTTCAGACGAAAGAGGTGTGAATCTGGGCTCCCTTGACTTACCCGGTTAAAGGTGGATTTTAGCACCACTTTCTCCAACTCGACGGCAACAAGGCTGGTCATGAGGCTGGTCAGGCTGTCATAGATGACTGGGGACAGGCTGGCCTGCACAGAGGCGTGGTATCAGTGGAGTCCTGCCTAGCCCCTCTGTCTCTCACTGGAGTCTTCAGGAGAAGGGGACAATTACATAAGACCATGGGGGAGTATTTCCAAGGCTGGGGCTCAGAAGGGCTTTCAGAGTTTGCAGCAGGTGTGATAAGACACAGGCTGCTGGTGTGGGCAGAGATGGGTAGTTCCCTAAGCCCCCACTCACCTTGAACTCTGCCATTTGCTGTTCCAGGTTAAGGATGAACTGTTGTACCCAAGGGTCATTGGCCTCATAGTCATTGAATTCTTCCTATTGTCATGAAGCAAGGGTGGGTCAACATGGGCCTCTAAGAAGTACCACTCACTCCCACCCCTTCTTTACCCCTCTATGAAAAAAAATGTAAGAGGCCCTTCCTCTCTGTAGCCTCTGACTCCTTCAGTTCAGAACCAGCTAGTCTTCCAGGCTGGCAGAACTGCTGCATCACACCTCTAGCCAGGGAAGAGCCCTGGGCTGTGGAGCCATGACAGACTATGGCAAGGCACCTGGCTGCCTGTTTCTCCTGCAGCTCATGTTTTATAGGAGCGAAATCACTAGGCTAAGGGAAAAAAATTCCTGAGTCTACAAGATGTGGGGCAAAAAAAGCCTCAGTAAAAAGAAATAGGTCTAGGCAAATTCCCTTCACATGTTTCTCTGATGTAGCAACAAGTTGTTTCTCGGAAGGACCCTAGTCCTTGAGAGGGAGGCAGCTGAGCAGTACGCTAAGGTCTAGTGTGATCAGATGGCTCCACAGTCCTCTTGCTGGGGTGGGGGAAGGGTAAGCCTGGGCTTGTAGACTGCAGTGGTCAGGCTGACCTCCTCGATGTTGTGGGAGACAGACAGAAAGGTGTTGATCCAAGGCTGCACCTGTGGTTTGACTGCTGTGCTGTTGAGCTCCGTCAGCCCTTCCTATGCAATGACAGGGCAGAGACACATCAGTCACACATCCCCACCCTTTCCGTTTTTTTCTATCCCTCCCTCAAGTGCAGGGTACTCTTGCAGCTCTGAGGCCCTCTACAAACTCTATGGAAAGCAGAAAGGAGATCATGCTCATAAAAGGATCCAGAAACAAAAGGTCCTTTTCCAGATCTGTGCAGATTCAGGTCCAGAATGAAGTCCTGAGGTTGTTTTAGTAAACTCTCAAAAGAAGATTTTATAGTGCCTAGTTCTTAGCAGCACCTGTGACTAAGGGCAAACAGCAAGTCAGAGTAACCAGCAGGTTACTTTGAGTATCTTTCTGAGGTACCACATGGAGATTCTGGGGCTTACCTGTAAAAGGTCTCGGAATTTGCTGGACACAGCAGCCAAGTCAGAAAGGCAGCTGTCAAACTTGGCCTGGGCCTGCTCACCTCCAATGCCCTGGCTGAACAGCTTGGTGCAGTCACTCTAGGAGAGAACACAGCTTTAGACTACTAAGCACGCCTATGCCATGGGAATGGGAATGGTGAGGAAGTGCAGAGGAGGCCAATATGCAACCAGCCATCTCTTCTCCTTCAGCCCTTTTTTGGGGGAGGACAGGTACTGTGGATTTAACTCAGGGACACTTTACCATTGAGCTATATCTCCATCCCTTTTTAAAATTCTGAGACAGGGTCTTACCAAGTTGCTCAGGGTCTCACTAAGTTACTGAGGCTTGTCTTGAACTTGTGATCCTCCTGCCTCAGCCTCCTCTATGAGCAGCTTTGACCTATCTTATGCAAGAGTCGTTATGGCCTTCAAAAAACCTGAATTCTACTCTTATGGCCTTCAAAAAACCTGAATTCTACTCTTGTGGCTCTTCTACTTCCTACTGTAATATAGGGAGAGGGGAGGTGAAGAAAAAACATGCCAGAAATTTTTTTATACCTTTAGAGCCAGACATTTTGGGGTTCAAGTCCTGGATCAGCCATGTATTTGTTGAGTGACCTTGGGCAAATGATTTAAAGTTTCTGAGATTTAATTTCCCTATCCATAAAACAGGAACATAGATTCCTGTTCCCTTGGTGCTTGCGAATTGTATGAGATAATACACAAAATGCCTGGTGCATTGTAAGCACTACGGAGATACTCATCATTATCATTTTGTGGTACTGGGACCCTTTACCACTGAGTGACATTTCCAGCCCTTTTTTCTTTTGACAGTTTTTGTTGTTGTTATTTAATATTATTTCTTACTTATAGATATACATAAAACCTTTATTTTATTTATTTTTATGTAGTGCTGAGGATTGAACCCAGTGCCTTGTGTGTGTTAGGCAAGCGCTCTACCATTAAGCTATAACCCCAGCAAGGGTCTTGCTAAGTTGCTGAGGCTGGCCTCAAACTTTTGATCCTCCTGTCTCAGCCTCCTGAGTGGTTACCATGTGCTACTATGCCTGGCTGACACTATTATTGTTGTACTTTTCACCTCTTCAATATTTAGGTCTGACTGTCAAAGGGAAATTATCATGGTCATTACTGAGATTTAACTAAGGCACAGAGAATTTAATAACTTACTAAAGCCATAGCAGTAGGTTGTGGAACTGGGATTGTACCTCAGGAATTGCAGCTTCAGGGTGTTTGTTCCTGATCACTGCACTACAGCCCAGGTGTAGAGAACTTCATAGGGGTCCTGCCTGAAGCTCATGGTAATTTGGGTTGCCAGGAGCTGCCCACATTTCTTGTAGTAGTCCTTAGAAAGTCTGTGCTGTTTTGGACACAGCAGAAGCAGTGTGGAGAGACGCAAATGAACTGGTTTATTGGGCAGCAGACCCAGCTCCCACGCCCAGCCTGTTCACCTCATCTGGAAATGGGTATCAGCCCCCTGAATCTGGTTATCACAAAGGGCTGCTGATGAGGCTGAGAAAGAGTATCTTTGAAATGCAAGTCTAATTTATGGGAATTTCTCCGTTTTTTTGCTACTCACCTTTTCTTTTATTTGGCTAATTCTACTGGCTTAGTTATGAATGTCTAACATTTCCTAAAATTTTACTTAAAAATACAACAGATTGACAAGGATGAAGCCATGCAGAGTGCTATGGTGTACGCCTATAATCCCAGTGGCTGGGGAGGCTAAGGCAGGAGGATTGCAAGCTGAAGGCCAGCCTCAGCATCTTAGTGAGACTCTGTCTCAAAAAAAAGGGGGGGGGGCTAGGGATGTAGCTCAGCAGAAAAGTGCCCCTGGGTTAAATCTCCATTGCCAAAAACAAACAAAATACTCTAACAGGCTGATGCTAGGAATACAATCTCAAGTGCCATGACTTAAAAACAATGATGAAAGCCTCCTGACACAAGAGACACGTTATTGATACATTGTGAGCATCACCTTATTTTATTCTATTTGAGAGCCTCCTTGGGGTAAATTCCTAAGTTAGTCCATATCTCCATATCCTGAGCTCAGGAACTCTATTAGCTACTAGGCCTGTGTGCTGATTCCAGCCTCTTCCTTGGTCTTCACAGTGCCCACTTCACAACAGCTTGTGCAAGCGGCCCTTTGCCTCTGCCGCAAAGCCTCTGCCTCTATAGTATTACCCACTGGAAGCAGGACCCTAGCCTCCTTTGTATCCCAGAGGCTGAGTCTAAGAGTGGAGAAGAATTGGGCACCTCATTTCCTAATATTTAGCAAAGTGATTGATCCATGCTATTCTTTTTGTTTTGTTTTTTAATACCAGGAATTGAACCCAGAGGTGCTTTATCTCTGAGCCACATCCCCAACCTTTTTAGTTTTGAGACAGGGTCTCTCAAATTGCTCAGATAGTTGCTGAGGCTGGCTTTCAACTTTCAATCCTCTTTCCTCAGCCTCTCAAGGGACTAGGATCATAGCATACACCAGCCATGCTGTTATTTAACTGTTATAATTAATAAGTATCATTGAGGGGCTGGGGATGTGGCTCAAGCGGTAGCGCGCTTGCCTGGCATGCGCGTGGCCTGGGTTCAATCCTCAGCACCACATACAAAAGAAAAGATGTTGTGTCCGTTGAAACTAAAAAATAAATATTAAAAAAAAAAAGTACAACTGAATGCCTCTTCTGTATCAGGTGGTTTATATTATTGTATTCATTTGACTATAACTTCCTTGGGGAAGAGGTTATGATTCCTGCTTTAAAAGTGAGGAGGCTGGGGCTGTAGCTCAGTGGTAGAGCATTTGCCTAGCATGTGTGCGGCACTGGGTTTGATCCTTAGCCCAACATAAAAATAAACAAATGAAATAAAGGCATACCGTCCATCAACAACTATTAAATAAACAAACAAACAAAAAAGTGAGGAGACCAAGGCTCAGGAAGGTTACGGAACTTGCCTAAAGCCACAGAACTGGTCAGAGATCAAGTGGAGATTTGAACTCCATAGTATCTGACTCATAGTCCATGCAATTTCTCCTCAACACTGCTGCCTTCCTTTAAAATAACAGCAACTAAAAAAGTAAACAAACCAACAAGAACCCAGCTACTAGCTTGAACAGGGTTTGAGGATCCTTATTTAATGTGTCATATCCAGAGTTTTGTCATAAAAATAGTATACTTTTTTTATAAAATGTTTTCACCCTGTTTTTCATTAGGTTACCCAACAAACCCCAAGTAGGGCAGGGTAGAGATCTGTCCCTCATTTTACAGATGACAAACTAAGGCTCAGAGAACTAAGGCTCAGAGTTAAGGGACTTGGCTAAGGTTCTATGTCAAATATGAGCTGGAAGATCTAATTTGAATTCTATCTTGCTACTCATGGCCAGAGCTTTCCCCATGGTCCACAGATGTCTTGTTATCATGACAATCACTAATGAATTCCCCTGAGTATGGCTCTATGTGAGAGAATGCTCCAGTCCCCACCATAATGAGTACAGGGCTCTTTCTCAAAATGGCAAGCTATAGCTGCTAAAAGCTGATAGGCAATTTCCCTTGTACCTCCAGAGTCTTCTTCAGAGTGGAGATGTTTTCACTGCAGACTTCCACATTGTTCAGAGTCACCTGCGAGATGAAGAAGGAAAAATGTGAGGTCCTGTTCACTGTGCTTGCTGCCTACTCCAGTGCCTGACTGGCTGTCAGTTATACTCCATGAGGCTCAGAGAGGGATCTAAGATGCTAAGGAAAGCCCGCATCACCGTCATCAGGTGGGATACTTAGGTCTTGGACTGGGGAGAATGGTGAACAAGGCTTACCCTTTCTTCTGTGCCTGATGCCAAGACAGCAAAGTATCAGGACTGCACAGGTAGAGCCTAGTTTCCAAGTCTTTTTGCTCCATGATACTTACAGGTACACAGGTCAAGGATAAGTCCTGGCCTCCAAATTGGCAATCCTGGGCTAGGGATGTAAGGTCTGATGTTTACTTACCAAGAGCTTCCAGAGAGCCTGCCACCCAGGAGGCATTTTCTCAACTATTATCTCACTACCTCTACTGAATACCTGCCTAAAAGTTTTATCAGGTCCTGTTTATAGGAGTGGGAAATGATACTCTTTAGCAGGTAAAATGGTTCACCAAGGTCAGCCGGCATTGACAGACTAAATATTTACTGAGTACTTGCTATGGGCCATGCACTGTTCCAGACATTTGGGAAAAAGCAGTTCACCAAACAGACAAAATCCACCCACTCAGGGCAGGGGAATAGCTCAGTGGTAGAGTGTATGTTCAGAATGTGTGAGGCCTAGGTTCAGTTTCCAGTGTGCACAATGCACACACATGGCACAATACCATCTGCTACAATAGAGTTGACATTCTTGAAGGGAAATCTGATAGTAAACAAATATATGTATTATATTAAATATATGTCAGGTGGTGATAAATATTATGAAGAAAATAAAACAGGTACGGGGACAGAAACTCAAAAAAGTGGTAAGGCTGGCTGGGAACAGTGGTGCATACGCATAATCCTAGTGGCTCGGGAGGCTGAGGCAGGAGGATGACAAGTTCAAAGCCTCAGCAACTTAGTGAGGCCCTAAGCAATTCAGTAAGACCCTGTCTCTAAATAAAAATACAAAAAAAGGGCTGGGGATGTGGCTCATGGTTAAGTGCCCCTGCATTCAACCCCTGGTACCAAAAAACAAACAAACAAAAAAACAAACCCCAAACCAAAATCAAAACCCAAAGCTAGTGACAAGGCCACATAGTTGAAACCAGGATTAGAATTCAAGGGGGTCCCCACTCTGGGCCAACAGCTCCTTCTTTTATTACTCACTTGCCTTAGAGACTAGAAGCAGCATGTGACAAAAGTGATTATCAAGGCACAAACTCCTACAGCTACGTAGAGGAAAGCAGAACTGCTTTGATCTGCAGAATGCAAGGGAGGCTGTGTGGCAGAGTTGGTGGCTGAGTTGAACTTGTAAGGCTGAAATGGTTCTGAGAGGAGATGAGGGTGAGTACACTTCTGCACCCCATCAGCCTCTCCAGCTCACTATTCTATTTGGGATGTGTGTATATTGCTAGGTTTTGAAACCAGGGTCTCATACATGCTAGACAAGCTCTCTACCACTGAGCAACACTCATCAGCCCACTGATATTTTCTCAGGGGTACATAGTTTCCTGACATTATCTGGTATACATGTTTCTTGTCTGCTTTTTCCATTAGAATGAGATCCCTGAAGGCAGGACCTAGCCTGTTTTCACCACCACTATATCTCTAGTACAGTACTATTTGACTTCTTGATAATGCAAAGATTCTAAATCTGAACTGTCTAGTATACCAGCCCCTAGGTATCTATGGTTACTGAGCACTTGAAATGTGCGTTACATGACTCAGGGACTGGATTTTTAAATATAACTTTAAGTTTTTAAGATTTTTTAAAATTTACTTACTAATATTTGCAGTACTGAGGATCAAACCCAGGGAGCTCTACCACTTAGGTATATCCCCAGACCTTTTTATCTTTTGAGACAGTTGCTCAGGATGGTTTTGAACTTGCAATCATTCTGCCTTGGTCTGAGTCACCAGGATCACAGGCATCTGCCACTATACTCAGATTAAATATAAATGTACTTTTAGTTCTAAATTTAAACTTATATTTATTTTTTGATACCAGGGATTGAACTCAGGGGCACTCAACCACTGAGCCACATCCCCAGCCCTATTTTGTATTTTATTTAGAGACAAGGTCTTACTGAGTTGCTTAGAGCCTTGCTTTTGTTGAGGCTAGCTTTAAACTTGTGATCCTCCTGCCTCAGTCTCCGAGGCTGTTGGGATTACAAACGTGTGCCATCATGCCTGGATTAAATGTAAATTTAAATAGTCACTGTGGCTAGTAGCTATATGTTGGACAGCTCACCTATAGAACCTAGGATGGTGCCTGATATACAGAAGCTTATCAATCAGTATTTGTTGAATGAGTAAGTTAAAGAATGCACTCTGGAAAAGGGATAATGTAAGAAAATGCAGAATGGCAGAAAAACTCTGAAATGTTTGGGAGACCAACAGAGCTCAAAGACACACAGATCTACAGGGGTAGGTGACACAGATCTACAGGGGTAGGTGAGGTCTGACTAGACTTTCAGTGCTGTGCTGAATAGCTGGCCCTTTGTTCTGTGGTCAGTGGAATGGCACTGAGGACTCTTCAGAGAAAAGTTTTATACAGCTGGGTGTAATCCAGTTACCTGGGAGGCTAAAGCAGGAGGATGAAAAGTTTAAGGCCAGCCTAGGGAACTTAGCAGGACCCTGTCTCAAAATAAAACAAAAAGAAGTAGGGATGTAGCTCAGAATTACTTGCCTAGTATGTGTAAGATCCTGGATCAATCCTCAGTACTATAAGAAAGAGAAAGTAAGGACAGAAGGAAGAGGAGACAGAAAGCTGAATGCCACATGAACACTGCTATAGTGTACAAATACTATTCTATAGGTTGTGAGTGGGAGCAATTTGAGAGGTCTCAGTGTCTCTAGACTGGTGTCTGGTGACATGGCCAGGAGGGCAGAGTAGGGAAGAGCCATAAGTCAGGAATTTAAGGATCTCAAGATATAAGGAGAATCCCAGAACTCCAGGGATTGAGACTGGGAAGTCCTTCCTCTGACTGCTGCCCTTGCTGGCTTCCTGCAGTCTATACTGAAGAATCACTGTTGACAGTGCTGCTAAGGCCACTCTGAGTATGGAGGGAAAAGGCTACAGGCCACAACACAAACATGCTTATTTAATAAGTTTCCAGAGAAATAACTCCACTGTCTTGACAGCTGAAGGATGAAGGCCACAACATGAATGTTTCCAAGGCATTTAAGGACACCAAAAATAACTGCCATAAGGGGAAAATGGATTTGAATTCAGATGGTATTGATTTCAAAGTTTCCCTTGTACTGACAATCCTTGTAAGCATGGATTCACAGGGCTTATCCTGCTCATGAAAAATGATATGTCAGTACAGTTGGGAAATTCATTCTAACAGGTAAATGAATCAAAAGTGTTATAAAAGGTAGGCTCTGTGGTGGGAGTGATGATATTTTTAAGTGTTTGGCATAAGGAAAACTAGAAATTTGTCACCAAGCATTTAGCACCACCTTTCTTTTTGGCCTTATCTTCTGGATCCTCCAACAATGAAGCTTTCTGAATGGGAGGTCCTCATAGAGCAAGGAGTGAGTTGAAGGCATACTGACTGGCCAGCCTTGAGGAAGTGTGGAGTCAAGTGGAAAACAGGACTGGAAAGATTTGGGAGGACTTAAATAGATGACCAGGTAAAGACATCTAGCTTTTACGGGGTAGGCAGCAAAGCCAATGAAAACTTCTGCACACAGAAATGAATGAATCTTTAAGTCAGTTCATGATGCTGGTTGCTGGAAGTTTTGGCAAAGTTCTCCAAACTCCAAAGGTACCACATTTCACAGGTAACAATTTCTCGGAGCTGATCCTCTTTTCTGGCAACAATTGCAACATCCCAGATTAAAGGAACTCATGCCCAGGGAAAATACTTTCAGTGACAAGAGTGAGTCGGGCTGCTTAAATAGTCTTCACACTAACCAGTCTGACAGACTGGTTAATGTGGTTCCCCTGCACAGGGACAAGGTAGATTTTAGTAAGTTAGGACTCTGTCTCTAAAAACAAAAGCTTTGAACTCTTTGGGGGTTACAGACCTCTTTAATAATCTGACAGACTAAGGACCTCACTTATAGACCTCACAATTTTGCATCCATCCCCATCTACGGACTGGTGATGGAGAGCTCTATTATTGGATGTTTCCTTCAGTCTCTGAGCCTCAGAAGCCAAGACTCAGAATCTAGCCAATATTAAGGATGGAGCATAATGGACTTGTGACAGTGCTATTCCCACTCAGGCCAAGAGGCATGGGCCAGAGAGGCCTGATAATGAACTTCAGAGTCCTGTGTTCCCAGTGACCCATCATGAACTGGATGTTACTTTCTATAAAACCTTTCATTCTTCCATGCTTCTCCATTTTCAACTGTCACAAAAATTTGCCCTGTAAGACTCATTGCTTCAATTGTACCTGTCATTTATTCTAAACAGCTAAGGGCTATAACAGGATCACCTTTCCAAAGGAAGTTGCTAGAAAAGCAGTCTTGGTAGGCATTAGCACCTACGCCTTCTGTGAGCCTCTCCTCAGAGAAGCAGTCTGGAGACCTGGCAGAAGCACACCAAGCTGGCTACCCTGTGGGACCGCTAAAGAGCCAGGCAGAGGTCTTGGGAATGAGCATTCAGGAGAGTTGAGGAGCTCAGTCTTCTAGGAAAAAGTACATATTTAGACTGTGGGTGTGGCTCAGTGGTAGGGTGCTTGCCCAGCGTGAGTGAGGCCTTGGGTTCAATCTCCAGCATCCCCCACCACCCAAAAAAGCATATCTTGGGCTCAGGCTGCTCAGAATAGTTCCCTGCATTAAGAGCCTCATAGAGACTTTTTTCTGTACAGATACTGAAGGCAAAGTCTTCACCTTGAGGCTTTTTATACTATGGCTTAGAGGTCACAGTTTAACCTCTCAAGAAAAACTGACCCAGGTCCCAATCTTTGGGTCACCTACCAGAAAGGACAGCTTGGCCTCATCAGTGCTCTCGATGCCTTTTGTGTCAAATTTGCCCTGTTGGAGGCTGCTGTGCATGATGTTCACGGCACTTGTCACCCCACGCTGGATATCCTGTAAGGTGGTTGCTGGGAAGCCCATCCGCAGCTTGTTACACAGAACGTCCCTAGGGGGCAGAATGGCATATGGGGAATGACAGTGCTCAACCTGGCCTCTAGGATGGTATGATTGAAGTGTCCATAACCCTAACCCAGCAGCACCATTTACTCTTCTGGGGAGATAACTAAATCCTGTAGACCACTATAGGAGACCTTAGGACTCAGGGTATGACAGTAATCAACACTCCCTCAAGCATACAAAAATTTACAGAGGAGATTGAACTTTTTTTTTTTTTTAAATTGATGGGACATCAATTCATTACATAGCAGAGTTGGGGGAAGGGGAAGGAAGGATTCAGTTTCTACACTGTATTCTACGATGGTATTGATGATGTCATTTTAGTTGTGCCTTTAGCCAATGTACTTCTTATGAGGCTTTTAGTTATTACTACTGAGCTCTAACAAAGAGGAGGCAGTACAGCTTAGTGAAAGGCAGTACCATGAAGGAGTTGAGAGGAAAGGTTTTGAATCAGTTCTGGACTCTACTACATCACTTATGGGGTGAGTAATCTTTGACAAGGTATAGAATCTCACTAAGCCCCAGTTTCTACATCTACAAGATACAGCTAATAGCTCTTACCTCATAGGGTTGTTACTAGAACTAAAAGAGTAAGGAATTAGCAGTGCCTGGCTCGCAGAAATAGTAACTATGATCATTATTATAACTACTGTTTTCATCTGAATCACCTCTTTTTCTTCCTAGGTTTGAGACCAAAGACCCCTTCATCCCAATGGAGGGAACAGAAATTTGCACTTAAGGTACCTCACTGATGGGTATCTGCTGGGAGCCAAGGATGTTGTGTTAAGGATAGGAGTTTTTATTTTATACAGACCTGAACTAGAATCATAAAGAAAATTAAGAAACAAATGGGCTTGGGAATCAACCACTACTAGGACCTTTGTACCTGAGAAGCAGAAAGGCAGTCAAGTGTACCTGAAGTCAGCCTCTAGTTCTGTGGTAGCAAGGTTGATCATGGCACAGAGACAGTCGATGCTGGAGCTGGATAGAGCTCGCCCAATGCACTTCTTAACAATGTAGAAGACGTCATCTACCATGCTGGATGTCAACTGACCCTTCTCATAGGTGTCAAGAGCCACAGCCTACCCAAAAGACAAAGCACCCAGTGAGTATCCCAGTTCTGCATGTCATGTTCTAGATGGTTCTGGTTATATAGTTCTGGCTTTGCTCCCTTTTCTATATCTTACCCATGTTTCTCACAATATGGCATATTCTTTTTTTTTGGTATTAGGGATTTGAACTCAGGGGCCCTTAACCTCTGAACCACATCCCCAGCCTTTTTTTTTTGTATTTTTATTTAGAGACAGGGTCTCACTGAGTTGCTTAGGGCCTCAATAAGTTGCTGAGGCTGGCTTTGAACTCAAGATCCTCATCTCAGGCTCCTCCCAAGCCACTGGGATTATAGGCATGTGTCACCACACCCCGTGTAATATGGCATATTCTTCTCACAAGCTTGCCAAAATAGCTAGCTTCTCTATATTCATTATTACATCATGAAATTTTATGTTGATGGCCTTTGTCTTGGAAACATCCATCACCTAGGATTTCAGACATAGGAGACCCTACTTCCTCAAGACTCCTCACCCACATACCTCCAGGAAGGTTGGGAACAAGTAGGCTCCCTGGGGAGCGGAGCTGTTCTTTTGTATTCTTTGGAAAAGAAATCCCAATTTGGTATATGAACAGTTATGACAACAGTTATGGTAAGAGTATCCAAAGGGCTGGGGAGATAGCTCAGTTGGTACAGTGCTTGCCTTGCACGCACTAGGCCCTGGGTTCAAGCCCCAGCACCACAAAACAAAAACAAAAACAAACACAAAAACAAGAGTATCCAAAAATACTTCTTATCATACAAAGTAGTGACACTCAGTCCACATGTAAAATTATTCTTAAAGCAGGACCAAGCTGGGCGCCATGGCGCACGCCTGTAATCTAGTGGCTCAGGAGACTATGGCAGGAAGATTGCAAGTTCAAAGAGCCAGCCTCAGCAACTCAGCAAGACTCTGTCTCTAAACAAAGTACAAAAAAAAAAAAAGGACTGAGGATGTGGCTTAGTGTTTAAGTGCCCCTGACTTCAATCCCTGGTACAAAAAAAAAAAAAAAAAGGACCAAAAAATATGACAGGCCTCAGCTACTTCCTTTAGCTTGGCTTCTTGGGACAAGCAGCCCCATAGATTTGTCCTTTGTCCTACCTTATTGACAGTCTCCCTCATGAAGTACTCCTCCATCGTAATATACAATCCAATTAGCTCCTGCATGGTACAGCTCAGTAGGCAGTTATTGAGGAGTTTGTCCAGGCACTTCTGGTGCTCTAGGGGATAGCAAAGATAGGAATATTCATTTTTTTCCCCCAAGGGTATGGGAACAACTTTTTTCATTTTTTTAAAGGTTCTTTTTTGTTCCAAATAGGTACCTGGCTTTATATGGTTATAATCATAGCATAAATGCAATTTCTATTTTGCTTTAAAATTATATCACAAATTATTTCCATGTTTCTATGTTTATTTATTTATTTTTCCCAGTGTAGCTTACTTTTTTTTAGTACTGGGGATTGAACCCAGGAGAGCTTTACCACTAAGCTATATCCCTAACCCTTTTTATTTTGAGATGGGGCCTTGCTAAGTTGCCCAGGTTGGCCTTAAACTTGCCAAGGCTGGCTCAATTTGTGATCTTGCTTCAGCTTCCTGAGTCATTAGACTAGTCAGGAGCATGCCATTGTGCCTGGCTTAGGTTACTTTTTTTTTTTTGTGTGTGTGTGTGGTATTATGAATTGCACCCAGGGCTTCACATATGCTAGGCAAGTACTCTACCACTGAGACTATATCCCCAGCTCTTAGCTTACTTATTTATTTTTTGTATCAGGGCTTGAACTCAGGGGCACTCAACCACTGAGCCACATCCCCAGCCCTTTGAAGTCTTTATTTTGGTACAGGGTCTTACTAAATTGCTGAAGCCGGCTTTGAACTTGTGATCCTCCTACTTCAGCCTCCTAAGTGTCTGGGATTACAGATGTACACCATTGTGCTGGCTATTACTTATTTTTAATGGCTATACAAATAATCCATAGTATTTTAGCTAATCTCCTATTTTTAGACATCTGGGTTATTTCCAAGTGTTTTGCCACTATTGGAGATAAGAAGATAGCCTCATAATTGGAGGTAACAGTGTAGACTTTGGTACAAACAACTTTTTACTCTATTTTTATTATTTTCTTAGGATTAATACTAAGAGTCAAAAGATATAGCTTTCCAGGGCAAAGACTGAAATATATTTTCTAAACTAGCAGTATTCAATAGGAATTTCTGTGATGATAGAAATATAGAATATTTCCACTATCCTAGCCAACAGCCATGGCAGCTACTAAACACTTCAAATATAGCTAGTGGGATTCAGGACCTAAAGTTTAAAATATAATTTTAATGAAATCTGAATTTCAATGGTTACATGTGGCTGCTGGCTACTATATTGACAACATAGCTTTAAACCGTATGTACACTGATGAGCACCAAACTCCTAATCAGAATACATTTTTCTTTAAATGTCAAATCAGTAAATCCCTTGCTGTGTCTCATTGGTACAATCCAAGTAGCATGCCACAGACACTGGATGGGTCTCAAATCCCCAGTTCAGGAACTCTGCAGGTACTTGTACAGCAGGAATTTGAGAGTTTTTTTTTTTTTTAAAAAGACAATGTTTCAAAGGAGGCCCAGGCTGGCTTGAATACCCAGGCTCAAGCCTCAATGTCCTGTATATCTGGGACTATAGGCATGCACCACTGCACTGGGAAAATGGTCATCTTAAAACCCTGGAAAGTCAGGTGGGCACACTGGTGTGTGCCTCTAGTCCCAGCTATTCAGGAGGCTAAGGAAGGAAGATCCCTTGAGCCTAGAAGTTGGAGACCAGCCTTGGCAACATAGTGAGACACCATCTCATGACAAATACTGGAGAGTCAATCTGTAATTGAAGTTAGACTGTTGCCCCACTTCCTTCAATTGTCATTATCCCTTCAAATAAATGTGAGTGGTGGAGCTGGGCATGGTGAAACACTCAGGAGGTTAAGGCCCTAAGCAACATAGGAGGAACCTGTCTCAAAAAATAAAAAAGGGCAGGGGATTTAGCTCAGTGGCAAAGTGCCACTGGATTCAATCCCTGATACCCTCCCTGCAAAAAAAAAAAAAAAAAAAAAAAAGTGAGTAGTGGAACTGGAAGGCTGGGAAGGGGATAAAAACTTCCTCTGCATCATATATTTAAAAAATTTTTTTATTGAGGTATATTTCACAAATTTATCCACTGCATGTGTATAATTCAATAATTTTTAGTAACTTTATAGATTTGTGCAACAATTTCCATAATCAGTTTTGTAATATTTCTTGTTCTTTTCTTTTTTAGTGTTGGGGATCAAACCTAAGCCTCACACATGACATGTAAGTGCCCTGTCACTAAGCCACATCTCTGGCCATAGTTTTATAACATTTCTATCATTCCCCAAAGTTCCCTACTGCAGTTACATAAGTTTTTTTGTTATGTTTAAACTATCTATCATATACACATCTCCAAAAATCTGACAACAAAACTAAACCAGAGCTGGGATAAAGCAGCGTGTAGTGAAAAGAACAGGGGCAAATCATTTAAAACTGAGTATCAGTTTTCCTTGACTATAAAATATTTAAATGGCCCTCAGAGGTCCAGTCCATTTCTAAGCCATGGTGCACCGAAATTTCTTCTTGAGAGTCAATTTGGCCCGAGACCCCTAGAAACTAAAAAGCTCCAGTTATTTCCTTAATAGGAGATCTGTGGCTTAACTATGAGAAGACAGTGTCAACTATTTAAGCCAGCCTGCTCAAAGATTATGGGAAACATGTTTTACCTTGCTTTACTTCTTCTGAGGCCATGGAGTCCCCCACCTCAAAATCCGAGCTGATCCTCTTCCTGAGGAAGCGTAAGTACAGCTCACTACGGGCATTCATTAAAGTGACTTCAGTCAGGATGGGGTCCAGTTCTCTGAGACACACAAGGCAGAAAGAATAAATAGGATATTGGATTCCCTCAAATAGAACAGCTACAGAGCCAACATGGTCCTCAGATCCCCCTCCCCACTGGGACCATAAGGATCAGCCCTGCCAGATGGTCATCCTGGCTCTGCTGCCTGTCTATAAAAGACAGCTGTCAACCACATTTTCCCCTTATATGTTTCACCTGAATCATTTATGCTTAAGAATTTACCCTGGATAAATATGAGGCTAGGAAGGTGGGTTTTCTTTTGTGGTTTGAAAAAAAATTATCCCTTATGTGAAAGAAAATATACTTCTCCAACCTCTAATTCAGCCATGGTAGGATTTTAGAATACACTATTAAAATGTGTCCCACGCCCATGCATTTAGCCCAGTGAATAGCCAAAACAATCCTGAAAAAACAAAATTAGAGGACTCACTTCTCAATTTCAAAACTTTTTACAAAGCTACAACAATCAAGACTGTGTGGTACTGGCATAATGATAGACATGTAAATGTAAGGGAATTGAGAGTCCAGATGGTCAATTGATTTTGAATGAGACTGCTAAGACAATTCAATAGGGAAAGAATGGTCTTTTCCACAAATTGTGTGGGGGGACAACTGATATTACACGAAACAGAATGAAGTTGAGTCTCTACCTCATGTTACAGACAAAAGCCAACTCCCTTTGCACACTGAAGAGAACTTTCCAAAGCAAAAATCTGGTCACAGCATATGGTGTCCATAGCTCAAAGGATATAAGACACTGAATAGCCTGACTCTTAAGGACTTCTTCATATCAGGTGCTCCCCCCATACTTTGCAGTTCAGCTATACTGGTTTTCTTAAGTTCATAGGTCTTTTACATGTTTTTCTTACTCTATCTGGGACACTCTCACTTTATATTCCTAATCACTCTCCAGATCTCAGATCTAAGGCCATTTCCTCAGGAATTCTTCCTGAAAATTCCTCAGATTAGGTTGCATCCTTTTATTACACACTCTCCTATAACCTGTATTCATTATATAATATTGGTTAACAGCATGAACTCTGTAGGCAAATTGCTTGGATTCTATTTCTGGTCCTGCCACTGTATGACCCTGGGCATGACAATTACCCTCTCCATGTTATAGCTTCCTCATTTGTAAACATTTAAAGATTAAATCAGTGATTTACAACTGAGGGTAATTTTGCTCCCCCACCCCACCCCAGGATACTTGTAGCATCTAGTGGGTGGAATCCAAAGATGCTGCTAATCATCCTACAATGCTCTGGACAATTCCTCTCAATAAAGAATTATCCAGCCAAAATGCCAGTATTGCAGAGGCTAAGAAACCTAGTGGAGTTGGGGGTATAGGTCAGTGGTAATGTGTGCCTAGCATGCCAGGTTTGATCCCCAGTGCTGAAAGAAAAAAACTAGAAAACAAATATGCCCCCCACCCGCCTGTCAGACTAAATGGCTTAGTATTTGTTAAGTCCTTAGAACAGCGTCTGGCATATAGTAAGCATCATATATGTGTTAGCTATTATTATTGTTCACTTGTTAGACTGTAGGTGCCACAAAGAAAAGAATTTTATCTGTTTTGTTCACTTTGCTTTCTGCCATACAAGGACCAGTATTTGGCATATTATATGTAATCAGTAAAAATTTGATTAAATGAACACATTTTATAATGTAGCTTACTTTCTTTTCTTTTTTGTGTGTGCATGAGGCAGTACTGGGGATTAAACCTAGGGCTTTGTATATGCTAAGGACACATTCTACCACTGAACCACACCCCCCAGCCTGGATTGTCTTTAAAAAAAAAAAAAAAAAAAAAAAATATATATATATATATATTTAGTTGTAGGTAGACACAACACCTTTATCTTATTTTTACAGTGCTGAGGATCAAACCCAGTGCCTCACACGTGCTAGGTGAGCAACTCTACTATATAAAAGTTAAAAATTTTAGGGTAATAGTTACCTTTGGGAGAAAGGATGAAGAGAATCATTTTCGAGGCTTCAAAAGTACTGCAATGATCTGTTATTCTTTATGATCCACATATATATTATACAGACATTTGTTTTTATGCTAGCTTCCATTACAAAACAATATTTTAAAATCACAGACCACATTATAGCAGCGTAATCTCTGAATTAGATATGACTATCAATTCAAATTCCTTTGGGCTGAAGAAAACAGGATGATTACCTTGGCTCAATTTTTTCTGTTGCAGAATTTCTCATCAAGTTGCTCTGGACAAGCCGGAACTGTAATACACCACAAAAATGAGGAAACTCTTCCCACCCACCAACTATCTGCCTCTGTTATTCCAAACTTCTAGCATGTAAGCATAAAGGTAAGCTAGCTAGGAGTTCAAAGCCAGCCTCAGCAATGGCAAGGTTCTAAGCAACTCAGTGAGACCCTTGTCTCTATATAAAATACAAAATAGGGCTGGGGATGTGGCTCAGTGGTCAATTGCCCCTGAGTTCAATTTCCAGCATTCCCTCCCCGATAAAAAGGTAAGCTTGTCAGGTATACCTTTCCTTCAAGCCAGAGGTAAGCTTCCAACATAATGGGTCAAAGAGTAACTTTTGGCTTAGATGCTAACACTTGCCTCTGTTATTGTACTTACAAGTAATACTAGTGGTGTTCCAATGCATTACTGTCTAGAGTCTCCTAGTCTGAAATTCTGGAAACACAATTGTACGAGGCTTCTCCTATTTCTATATACTACTTTTCCGTTCTCTGATCAAAGGAATGTAAAAAATAAAATTCTGAATAAGCAAAGTTATGTTTGCAATGAAAGAACTAAGGGGAAATTCAAGACTAATTACACATCACTCAATAGGACCTTAGGAAAGAAAATCCTCATAATGTCACCAGAGGGCACTGTTGTACATTCTGTACTGAAGAAATGGTCTAACATATATGTTGTGTTCTTTAGGAAGTTCTATTTCCTATCCATCACCATCTTGACAATATCTCAAGTTGAAAACAAGGTGGTAATGGGAAAATGCATGCCAGTCTGAATTTAAAATTTGTTTATTCTATGCACCATTTTAATTTTTTTCCTCTAGTGTACTCTACTCCATATTCCTGACTAAAAATGCTTCTAAACTGTTCATAGCTTCCCCAGCTCACCTGCTGGTGGTAGTCCCTCTGTTTGATGAACTTGTCTACCACCTTCTCTACCTGTCTGTCACATTCCACCTGAAGATATTTGATCAAGGTATAAAGTCTCCCTGGTCCATAATATGTCTCCACTATGGGCTGGTGGGTCTCCACAATGCGGGCAATCCCTAGAAGGAAGTGAAAAGGTTGAACTGCAAATAGTTGTCTCTATTTTATAAAATAAACTCCTTTCTCCCATCCTGGACTAATCCAGGTCTAATTCAATCCTTTTGGGTTGCTTCACCACACAAAATGAACACATATAGTTGTAGCTGGTGCTGAGAATTGTTAAGCAAATTTGTTAAATATGCACAGTGACTGATATACTAACAAGCATTTGAGAATTTATATTGATAAGTTAAATTAAAAATACTTTTTTTTTCCCTAGTTGTATCTCTAGAAATCAGGATCACTCTCTTTCCCGTAATTTATCCTAGGGTTAAATTTACTCAGAGCTGGGTGCAGTGGTCCATGCCTGTGATGCTGGCAACTAGGGAGGCTGAGGCAAAAGGATTGCAAGTTTGAGTCTAGCTTCAGCAACTAAGCAAGGCCTTAAGCAACTTAGTGAGACTCTATTTAAAAATAAAACATTCAAAAGGCCAGGAATGTAGCTAAGTGGTAAAGTGCCCCTGGGTTTAATCAGTACCAACCAACCAAAAAATAAAAAAAAGGGAGGCTGGACTCAGCGGTAGTGCACCTGCCTGGCATGTGTGAGGCACTGGGTTTAATTCTCAGCACCACATATAAATAAATTAAAAATTTTAAAAAAGAAAAGAAATTTACTCATAGAATGTGGGTCTTGGGGACTAGGGAGGATCAAAATACTGTAGTGGCTCTTAACTAGTTTTGCTAATCAGATATTAAATCTGGAAGTAAATTCTCCAATAAGTCAACACACAGTAAACTGTAGGATTAGATTAAAGCATCGAGTTAGAGGGGACAAAAGAAAGGCTAGCATGCAGGTGTCAGAGAGAAATCTCTCTGGCCTTCATAGGGTGGAGAAAGAGGCTTGCCTTCAAATAGTAGAGTAAGTGTGTCGGCAAAGATGACTGCAGCTCTTCGATCACTCATATCTGACCCTAGAACCAAGAGTAGGTTCTCCTCAGCTTTACTGGCCACCTGAAAAAACAAAACAAAACAAAACAAAACAGAAAATCCACATATATTTCTGAACAAAGACCAGTCTCAACTAGGTTTGTCTCAGTTTTCCAAAAAAGGCCTCTCATTGACTTATTTATTCCCATGTTTCCCTTAATGCTTGGAGGCTCAGGTAGCACAGAGGAACCTCCTTTGGAGGGTTCTTGGCTTTCTGAGCTCAGGCAGGACATTCTTGTCTTTTCTTTGAAAATATGGACTGCCAATGGCCAACAGAGCCCTCAGTTTCAGTTTCTTCTCTATGTGTAGTTTATTATTATTAACAGTACTTTGTGGGGGCCTGGGCTGTGGCTCAGCAGTAAAGCACTTGCCTAGCACGTGAGAGGTTCTGGGTTTGATCCTGAGCACCACATAAAAATAAACAAATAAAAGCATTGTATCCAACTACAACTAAAAAATAAATATTTAAAACAAAACAAACAAAAAATAAACAGTACTTTGTTGAGCCAGGACAAGAAATTTGGCTACTTGTGTACTGTGTAAAGGGTCTCTCTCTCTTTTTTTTTTTTTTGAGAGAGAGAGAAAATTTTTTAATATATTTTTTTTTTTTTTAGTTTTCGGCGGACACAACATCTTTGTATGTGGTGCTGAGGATCGAACCCGGGCCACACGCATTCCAGGCGAGTGCGCTACCACTTGAGCCACATCCCCAGCCCGAAAAGGGTCTTTTAAATGATTAAAATTAGAAGCCATTTCTAGGGCCTTGGTGGCAAAGTAATGATTTTAAAAAGTACCATAGAGTTGGGGATGTAGCTCAGTGGTTGAGCACTTGCCTAGTACATGAAAGGCCCCAGGCTGGATTCCTTAGCAACCAATCAAAAAACAAATAAGCACCAAGAATAAAAAACAACAAAAATTCCATAGAACAAGGGACCCTCCCTTGGCTAGTGACAGTTCCTATTTTCAAAGAGAAGAAAAGCACTAAAGCCCTGAGATTTGAACTGAACCCTGTTTCCTTCTCAGGATTTAACTTTAAGTGACCTAACCTCTTTCATGTCAATATGGCTTATTTTGAGACCCAAGCCTGGTTATGAAGTCTTGAGACTTCATTACCTAAGATCCAACAGTTTTTAATAGAAGCCAGTTTTTTTTTTTTTTAAATAACTTTATTTTATTTGTTTATTCTTCTCTTTTATGTGGTGCTGAGGATTGAACCCAGGACCTCACATGTGCTAGGCAAGCACTTTGCCACTGAGCCATAATCCTAGCCCCCTAGGAGCCTTTTAAAAAAAAATTTATATATGACAGCGGAATGCATTACAATTCTAATTACATACAGAGTACAATTTTTCATATCTCTGGTTGTATACAAAGTATATTCACACCAATTCGTGTTTTCATACCTGGACTTGGGTTAATAATGATCCTCACATTCCACCATCAATAACCCATGCATCCTCTCCCTTCCCCTCCAGCCCCTATGCCCTATCTAGAGTTCATCTATTCCTCCCCTGCTTCCTCTCCCTATCCCACTATGAATTGGCCTCCTTATATCAAAGAAAACATTCAGCAAAAAATATGAAATGCTTCACAAATTTGCATGTCATCCTTGCACCGGGGCCATGCTAATCTTCTCCGTATCATTCCAATTTTAGTATGTGTGCTGCCAAAGTGAGCACTAGAAGCCAGTTTTTGACTGATAGCTTAAAACTTGTCAGAGAATTTCCATTTTAATTTACCTATATTTTCACTTGGTCTGTTGGAAAAAAATGTGCATCAGTAGTTGTCTAGACCATGCCTGGTACACAGTAATAGCCAAGAACCAAACCATTATCATACCAAGCCATCAGGGTCCATACCTGCTTACAAAGGTATTCTGAGAACTTGCTTAATCCCTCCTCATGCAAACCCAGCAGTGGGAAAATCTTGAAGAAGCGCTCTACTTGGGGTAAATCCCCTTCTTTGGTGGCCATGGCAAACTTCTCTGCTACAATGGCTTTGAGACGCTGTTCAGCTTCCTGCAGTAATTTCAGGTTGGCATCAATCATACTTCCTGCTCATGGGGAGAAAATGAGAATTAGTTTTAAAAAATTCTTTGTTGGGTCCATGCCACTCTGTGCACCACTATCCATTTGACAAGTATGTACAAAAGACTGTGTGCAAGATACTATACTAAGCACAAACCTGTAATCCCAGCAACTGAGGCTGACAGGAGGATCACAAGTTTGAGACCAGATTTAATAACTCAGTGTGGCCTTATCTTAAAAAAAAAAAAAAAACAAAAACAAAAACAAAAACAAACCGGAAACAAAACAAAACAAAAGACACCATACTAGTAATACTGATGATTAAAAGATGAATTTGCCATGCATGATTCTACTGTCACAGGAGTTACAATTAAGTAAAAGAGAATGTGCCCAAATAACTATATAAAATTCAGTTATTCTAAGTGTCCTAAGAAAGGAGCCCCCAAATCACATTTCTGGTTGAAGTAATGAAAAAGGCTTCTTAGAGAAGGTGACATCCAATCTTTCAAAGATAGGCAGGATTTTGATGCCTGAATAAGACAGACATAAATTCCAGGAGAAGGGAATGAAATAAGCAAAGGAATAGGAGTGGAAAGATGAAAAGTATTTTTGTATATTACAAATAGTACATGTCCTGACATAAAGAGGAATTCAACAAATATTTGCACAATAAATGGATACACAAGTGAACACTCCTAGAGAGACAAGAAAGTGTAGAATGGAAAGCTACTAATTTCATTTTGTAAGTAGGCAATAAGGTCAGGTGAAAAGAATACACCAGCCAGAGAATCAGAAGATTTAGATTCAGTTTCCTTTTCCATAAACTGAGAATAGCAACATCTGCCCTGGGATGGTACAGGACATACATAGGGCTTACAACGAGATAAGGGAACTTCCTAACAACACATGACTTTTTCCTGGTTGAGTGTATCTAGTTCAGATTACAGTGCTTGTAACCAAACTAGAAATCAAGTCTGGGATGCTGACCTTCTTTGCCCTGTCGGCTGAGTTCAATGACTGATTTGTCCAAGCACAAGTAACGATGAATGTGGGCTGCAGCCTGCTCATAATCTTCATTCCTCAAAGCAGTCTGAACTCCATCCATACAGAATTTCAGGTCCAAGATGTCATCAGCTCTCTGAATGGCCTGATAGAGGCGATTCTGAAAAAAAGACTTTGCGCTTAGAAATAAAAAGTCCTATTTCTTTTTCTTTCCTCCCCCCATTTCTTTTGTAGTACAGGGGATTGAATGTAGGGTATCACATGTTAGGCAAGCACTTCACCACTGAGCTACCTCCCAGCTCTTTTTATTTTGACAGGGTCTCACTAGGTTTCTCAGGCTGGCCTTGAACCTATTATCTTTCTGCCTCAGCCTCTTCAATACCTAGGATTATAGGTGTGTGCTAGTAATGCTTGGCTAGAAGTAATGTATTTTCTTTTCAAAAACACCCATCCAAAAGATAGGGTGATTCAGGGTCTGAATCTGGTTAACCTTTTTGCCTTTAACTGGCAAACTTACAAACTCTTCCACCACCACTCACAAAACTGTTATTTTTTAAAAAATTTTGTTAGTTATAGATGGACACAATATCTTTATTTTGTTTATTTATTTTTTATATGGTGCTGAGGATCGAACACAGTGCCTTACATGTTGGAGGCAAGCACTCTGTTACTTAGCCACAACCCCAGCCTCACAAAACTGTTATTGATGATCAAGGCCAGCTGACAGGTCTCACAAAATCTTATTAATGTGGTCAAATAATTAATTTCAAGGGAAGAAAGGGATAATCAATATTTATAATTTGGCTTGTTTTCTTAACTTTATTTATAGTTGAATCAAAACTTATGTGATAT